CACTTAATCTTTGTTATCTAGACGATTTAATCGCACTTCCCTTTTGCTCTGAAGGTATTCCTCTCAAGCTTAGAGGGAAAATAATTTTTAATAGTAATATTTGGAGCGAACCTGTTCTATATACCTGCTGACAGCGATCCCATGGAGCGCAGGTGTTCAACAGATTCACGTTCTAGTCAGCAGGGTTGACAGTGACCACTCTGGCAGCCCCCTAAATGCATTAATGACTGAGGCAGGATGCGGCCCAGCGTGAGGAACCAGTCCCAGAATGCACATCCCCGGTGCCTATCCCTTTGGCTCCTCATTTGTACCGAGAGTCAAAGAAAGGGGGCATCTGTCATTTTGGCTTGAAAGGCAATGAACAGGATCCTCCAAATATGTAAGGTACTTCTATTGCTGCTTTGGGTCTGCTGATTTTCCTAAGTATCTCCGTGCTAGGATGTAGCTACTTCTCTGGAAGAATCTAGTTAACTTTGTGTGATGATATGTGGTATTAAAACAGGCAAATATTAGAGAATCACTGTAATTCAAGTTCTGTACTTACTGATATTTTTCAGAGTATTTAAAAATCGAATAAGTTTTTTAAAAAATTGTACAGAATCATTCCCAATAGTTGTGTGATATAAATGTCACATAGCTTCAGATTTATAGTAATAGCTGTTTTTATGGGGAATGTTTTTACATCTTCAAAAGAAATCTTAATAATGCATTTTTAAAAGAAACCAGTGTCACTACCAAGCCTTTGGATGATTAACTGCCCTATGATATTTCCTTCATCCAAGCTGGTTTATAAAGGAAAGCAAATACGACAATAAAAGGAATGTACCAATTTATTCTTTACTAATAAAGTATTGAACATTGGGGGGGAAGTATGAAATATTGGAGTGGGACACAGAGCAATTCCATTACTCATTGTACTTTTGGGTCATATACTGTATAAAAAGAGTAATTACTTCATTGGTTGGAGACCACAGTGAAGGAACATAGCATCTGATGAAACAGATTTTAAAATAGAAATTTTACTCCAAAGACTCTCCTTTCCAAAACTCTGTCAACATTCGAGACAGACCACCTTATTTTACCCTTTGGTGACCAGGGATGAGGGAATGATGGTGGGCTGAGCTGGCAGGAGAGACAAAGACTATGTAAAGTGAGCTTGATTTTTACAGAGTATTAGCTAAGTATCACCCATGCACGCTGGTATGTTAAAGTATCTACTAAAAATTATCTTTGCAGATTCCTTAAATAACATTCTATTAATGAAGTTCCCAGTTTACTATTTATGTACCACATTGTTGACCTTAAAGCTGGTTGTTTACACCTTTCAATCAAGTTCCTGGATTTCATTTTCTTACTAAAGATTTCAGCAGCATGATGACCCTCAAGGTTAGATCGACCTGTCTACAAGTTCGCAAGCATTTTCAAATCATTTCTTGTTGGTTATGCCACTGAGATTCTGGGGAAGAACTGAAATGTTCCTGGATTGAACTGGAAGAACAGACAGATTATGGAGAAGACAGGCTCAGACGTTGGGCAGTTAGTCCCAATCCAAGTTTGTCAGTTTTCTCTGAGCCTCAGTTCTTCTGTACAGTGGAAAAAAAAAAAATTGTAGGATGACTGTGAGGATATGATGGGCTATGTGAAAAGCACTTTACTTTTATTTATATTTTCCTTCTTTCTAAAAATTACTCAAGATAGTTTATAAAAATGCAAAAAAGTGTTGGATGTGGTGGTGCACACCTGTAAGTCCAGCTCTCAGGAGGCTGTGGCAGAAGGATTTCCAGGAGTTCAAGGCCAGCCTGGGCTACATGGTGAGTTCAAGGTCAGCCCAAACTAAACAAGACCCTGAATGAAAAGAAGTTAAAAATACAGTAAGGAAAAATAGATTAAAAGTACAACCACCCTCAATAAGTTTTAACTCACTTATTTCTTCTGTCCATCTTCCTTTAATAATAGAAGGAATATCCAATACCACAAAAAACATTTCTGATATATTAATTGCCAATATGTTAATTGTTGACATATTAGTTCTAATATATTACTTGGAATCATACTGGATGGTATGAAATGAACTTCCATTTTCTGAATATTTTGATACATTCCTTTCGTTTTTTGTCAGTCTAACCATGTACAAATGTTAGGATCATATTATAAATCACACTTACTCCCCACTTTTTATTGCTACTGGATCATCAACACTTCTGTTGCCATTACTCTCTAAATATTTGCTGAGTTCATAATTAATCCTATCCAATATGTTAATGATATTTTATTATCAGGAGCAAAACATCAATGAAAGGTTTTCAGATGATGATTGAATATAATTGGAATGCCACCTCATCATTTGTCATACTTGTGGCAATCTTTTCCCCTTTATACTTTTTCTTTCCAGTGATGCTGTGGGTCAGGCCCTGTGAATCACACATGCATTACATGGGGCTATGTGCCCAGCCTTAGTCTTTTAAATTGATGACAACTTTTGACAGAAAGTTTTTAATTTTATATAACTATTGCTAGCAAGTATTCCCTTTGTGAGTTACTGCTTGCATGTTTAGAAAGTTCTTTTCTATTCCAAGAATAGTAAATAACTTACCTTTATTGCCTTTTCATAATTTTTTTCAGCTTTAAAAATCTTCTTAGAATGAGGAGGGCCTGGGGCACAGGCAACACCTTCCTTTTTATGATGCATCCTTTGGCTAACAGCTTCTCAAAGCCTGCATCTCATTTTCATTACCTAAGTACCTGGCCCACTAAATGCCTTCTCAATATTTCTTTCACAAAATTTTCTGCATCTGGCTGAGAATATAACTCATTGGTAGAGCACTTGCCTTGCACGCTGGAGGTCCCAGCTTCAATCCCCGGTACTGAAAATAATAAATTTATAAAAAATAACTTTTTGGCTGTAATTACCCATTTATTCTTCCAAACAAATTTTAGAAACACTTTATCAAATTCTCCACATTTCAGTAAACTCTGAACATTAAAGTCTGTTTGCATTATATCTGACTGAAAAAGATTTTAATAGTCAATACTGTAGTGCATAAACACGATCTCTGTATTTTTCATATAAATCGTTGTACATTTCTTGTTAAGGTTATATCTAAGTATTTTATATTGTTACTGTGAAAGAAAAATTTTCACATACTTTTGAACTAGAAAAAGCTTATTGTTACTGGACTTTCACAGTACAGCTGGCTTGCTTCGATTTACCTCTTTTTCCTTTTCTTCTTTCAATGCTGGGGGTTGAACCCAGGGCTTTGCCTATGCTAAGCACATGCTTTACCTCTGATGCACACGCTGAGCCCTCCAGTTTCTTTGCCACATACATAGAAGTCATTTGTAAGGATATTTTGCTTCATAGACATAAATGAACTCAACGGGTGCTTGGGATGAGAACAGAAGGGGCCCTGCAGACTAACTTTGTAGATACAAAAAGAAGTGGCAGGAGTCACAAGACGTGCCTGTGTATTTTAAAGTGCATAACTGCATAGGTGAAATTAACGCATTTTGTTTTATTAAACGGAGAGAGAGAAAAGAAGTTGATACGTGTAAGTCCATCAAGGCAAGGGTGGCTTTTGAAGATAGTTGGGAACGCAGTTTCCCATACTGTTACATGTGTCTTCTCTACCTCGTTGTCTGACAATCTGTTTTGGCATCAGCAAGATGAATACTGCGTTTGATCTCAGCCAAAAGGCCGAGAAGTGATAAGCAAGCTGAATAATGTAGACAATGTCTCCCCTGGGAATTAAATTTAAAATGAAAGTGTAAGTAACTGGAATCTGTACTAAAGACCAAGTTATGAAATTGGCCTTCATGCCCATGGTCCCTGTGTACCGCGTTGCCCTTGTAGGACACACACACACCTGTGATTCACTTACTCTTGGTTTCCGGGTGGCAGGGCGCCAGCCCTGGCCAAGTGTTCACAGTGTAAAGTGCTTTAGACTCTTCTGAAATGAAAGTCAGTATGTAAATGTGCAACATGACATTATTATTCTAGCTTCCTGGCTGCTGTCAGCAGGCACTGACTGCCACATGAGGTCTCAAGTGTTCTGGCATAATATGCAAGTGTTCAAAAGAAGTTAAAAGTAATGAAATTGGATCTACATTTCCATAGATATTCAAGCTGGCATAGAGGAATGGAGTCATGGAATGAGGATTGGATGGTCTCCACCAAACAGCCTAGGCGTGTGCCTGTGATGCCAGGCTACTAAGCAGAATTTTCAATCGTGAAAGGCCACCACCATTTCTTTCCTCTGGATCTAAAATTACAGAATATGCACATTTTCCCTAGGCTCACATCACCCTGAGAGCTTTGTGCTGGATCCCTACCCTTCCAACCCACCCGCCCACTCCCTGGAGCATACTAGCTTGCTGAAATTCTGCATAAGATGTACAATGAATTAAGTACAAAAAGGGTGGGGTGTACAGTTAGAGCCTTGACTGATAGCATATGCTGCTGTATAATATGGAATAATATTACTTTTAAGGGGGGGTCAAGCTTAGTATGGGATCTAGAAAGTGTCCACATAATGGAGTTCAGTCACCTTTGTCATTTTTTTGCTATTTTCATTGCTCACAGGTCTTCTCATTTACACCCAAGCATTTTTTGCTGATGAACTTTCCAGAGCCAACATCAGACTTAGGCCTGTGGCTGGTAGGGTGAAGACACTGGGTGTGCTAAATAGTCACAGTAGGTCCTGGGTCTGTGCAAATGTCAGGTGGAGTAACTCTGAGATCTGCCCTCTCTCAGACCTAGCCATCAGGGTTGAAGCAAGAGAATTCGAGGGTCCTGCTCGACAACCATCTTTATTAGTCACACAGTTCCATGATGCTCGGCTGCCTTCCTCCTTGACCCTTACTACAAATTCTACGTACAGATACACAAGAGATAGCGTTTATTTAAATTTGAAAATACAAGGAAGGACCAACCCAAAGAACTCAAGCACTAGAAAATATCATTTATTTATGCAGAATTTCTTTTTGTTATTGTTGCATTTCAGGACAGTGAAAAAAAGGGATTTATCAATAAAATCTATGCCATCCAAGAGGTATGTGTCAGTGTCCAGAACATCCTAGATGAAGTGGCTTCCTTTGGCGAAAGGATAAAGAAGTGAGTGTTGCCGGCACTTGGGACCTGGCCTTCTGTGGGGCAGGGTGTCGTTTGTTTCTCAAAGGGTGAAACACCACATTCTCTCTGGCAAGAGAGACTCCTTCTGGGTGATCCATTGCTCAGTTTCATCATTATTTACTTTGCTTCTGCCAGTCTTTGGTGTTATGAAAGTTCTGTCAATTTCCTCCCTGAAATTCAGAACATATTGGTTGGAAAGAAGTCATACTTGTAGCTTTGAAGAAATAACACCGTCCTAAATTTTAGCACATTTTTCACAGTGAAAGACTTTGTTCTTAAATGGAATATGAAATCGTAGCAAGAAACAAATCCAAACTACATGAGGACTTCAGGTAATCAAGACACCTGCATTGTGTTATTAGACTACTTATAGTCTCATCAAGCTACTCTAAACTTGTAAAACATTCTATTATGTGATAACACCCTAGAAAAACTTAAGCTCTCTCAAATGTAATAGTCGGTATCATAATTATCAATAATGTTTTATCATTTAGAAAATCATAGAATTATCATAATAAAGAAATTGATTCCCCTTAACTTTTAAATAAACACAACTTCAGTGATTTTTAATATAAAATTAAGAAACTGTTATTGCTGTACTCTTATTTTAAATAATTGTATTTACTAATGTTTTCAAAACCATTATTTATTTATAAAAACAGTAAGGTAGACTTATAGTAATCATGAGTTTCTGATCTATCAGGCCCCATACTAAGATGTGAAACTGGCCTTGAAGCAACTGCTAATGATCTAGTCAAGAAAGGGTGCTGTGTCTCTGGATGAGATGTATTTTCCTAGTTTCATATATCTACCCACTGTTTATTATTCATAACCAAAAGTTTTCTGCAGATTTAGATCCTTGGACATATATAGAATTTGAAAGGAGTAAATTATTTAAACTAAAGGTGTGAGTCATTCATCCGGTACCTTTCATGTGGCGAGGGATAATGCATTTTATTTTGTATAATTTTTTGTTTAATATATTTCCACGTATGGATAGGTGCTGAGTTTTCACTTTTCTTATATTAGACAGAATGGCCTTCCTCTCACTCTCAAATGTGCCCCTAAGCAACATTCATTCTCAGACTTCTAAAGACTCATATCCACATCTTTTCTCTTTCCTTCTCCCTCTATTACTTCTACCTCCAAGAATCTTTCCTTGTCCTCTATCCCCTTATCCACTGAGGCACAGTGTGCAGCTCTAGCTTTGGAGCATTTCCCTACACAGCGATGTCCTTTCTCTGGGGCTCACTGTGTGCTGATACATGAATGAAACCTCTCACTTCTACTGGAAGACCCTGGGTCAGCTCAGGCCTCAAGCCAGGCTAGTGAGCGCTTGAGGGAAGAGGCTCTTCTGTAGCTCAGGTAATAGGAGGTCTTCAAACAGAACATGACAGCCAAGGGAAAGATATGACTGGATCAGGGCAGTAGACCAGTCTTGGAAACCCAGTCTTTGTAGAATTTTCCCTGCTCACATTCAGTGAATCTTATAAGAGCCATTGCTTTGCACAACAATCATATTTTGTGTATTTAAAAAGTGTACTCCTCAGGGTTACAGCAGATCAAAAGCATCTACCCAGGAAGGCAGATACTGAAGCAATCTTTAAGCATGTAATGAAAAACCTCTATAAATATTACATCTTCTTACTACATAATCATTCCAGAACTTTCTTGAATTGCAACTCTTTTTTGGGAAGAGCATATTCTAGATTTAGATTCCAGAACGGAAAGTGTGGAATAGAAAAGGTAAGCTTTCTCCCCCTAACATTAGCTCCACAGGAGAGGATTCTCTGCCATTTCTCCTTCCAATAGGAGTACGGAGAACCCAGGGAGCCCTTCGGCGGGGCTGCCCGGAGGAGGAAGGTTTTCCGCTTGCATTGCCAGTGCCCGCACACACAGAGTGGTGTGATGGATGGCTCTGCACTGAGCCACAGGACAGCGAGCAGACCCTCAGCCTTCTGTTCGCTCCACAAGCAGGCAGAGTAAAGGAAGCACAGGTGTCCACCAAAGAAGGGAAGCCTGATCTCTCACCTGCTGACAGTCACAGGATGCTTGCTGCCTGACCACACAGGGAAGGAACAAAGACACAAAGACAAGAAGCCAGACTCCCAGGGTTACTGAAAGCAGGACAGACCGATCCAACTTCGGACTGCTTACTAGAAAAGTCAGTTTTAGGAAACAGTAGACACAAAAAACAAGCTACATACCACAAAACTAAGGAACAGTGCTTAAGCATTACGCTAAGGTACTGTATAAGAAAAATACTTCTCAGCAAGCATCCATTATTGGATCAAAATTGCCCTCGCCAAACCCAACTCCAAATGATTATAATGTCCATTACCAGGAAATCAGCAGAAAAAAACTCTAACATGTACCTATATCACATACAGTTTCATAGTTTTCTGAACTTTTTTTCTGACTGCCATAATCGAGACTCCTGGAGTTCACCAGCTCTAATAATAAAACCTTGATTCACATAAACACATTTACCCTCATGAGTCTTCCTTCCTTCCTTGATACAATCAAAGTGATCCTCATGTTAAAAGTAGAAAGTGGAGAGCTAGTGAGATTGACTCACCTATAATCCCATAACAGAATCAAATTAGACTCATTCATCTAAAGTCACATAACAGAATCCAGGCTTTGAACACACCTCTGCCAGCTTCCTGGCTCCTTTCATGAAATGGCTGTGCTAAAGGGACAGTCAGCATTGTCTATCAGTTGCTCTTTGGTGGCTGGAGATCAGGGGCATGTCAAAGGATGCACTGGTGTACCTGTAAATGGTGATATGTCCAACCTTGGTGGCTCCAGGCAATGCTTTTATTTACTATGTAATTTTGGTTTTTTCTTAAAAACTATCAGATTCACCACAGAACTTCTACACAAAAAGCTTAAAAACAGTCATGCTTTCCATTTCCCTGATTCTCTGTACTGTCTTTTAAAAAGTAGTGTATATAATTATTTTGCCTTTTTCCCTTCATTCCTTTTCCCTTTTCTCCCACATAAATTCCTTGCCATCTCCATCTTACCTTTTTTAACTTCCCCTCCTTCTGCTCAGGGATCCTGTGTGTGTGCTTGTCACTGTGCTGTGTGACTGTCAATACACCTGGCTTTTCTGACCCAGCCCTTCACACTATCGCTCAGCAGCAGGATAGCCACCCTGTAGACCCGTGGTCCTGCCCTGCTGTAACACCTCTCCAGCTTGCACTCCCTTTTCACGGCTTATCCCACAAACCCCTTGTGTGCCACGTTCTCCCATGCCGGGAGTACTACAGGGAGGAGCGTAAAACATCGCTGACTTCCTTAATCACACATGTATTTTGGTGAAGGAGGACAATGGTAACAGGTGAAGTTTTACAGGGCTAACTGCTTTGTCCCTGATTTCTAGATCTATTTAAAACACAGCTGGGTGGGGAGTATTCCTCTAAGGAATTCAAAAACTCCGAGCATTTACACAATAGTCAAAGATTTACATCTATAGACAATTGCTGGAAATATTTTATTTCCAGTGAGGGAAATACTGAGAGCTGGTGGAAGAAGGGTAAGCCCAGGAGCATTCCACTCTGTGAAGATTTAAAAAAAAACAACATTCAGTAGTAAGTTTTAGCAGTAGAAAAACAAAAATCTTTTTACTATGTGGGTATTCGCTCAAGCAGTGCCATGGCTTTAAACTCGGAAGTCACCTGAGACAGTCTGGTGGGATTGGCAGTCCAACTTTCCCTGGGCCCTGTGTGCATGGAATTGAGATTATACTAACCTGTGTCCTCAGATAGTTTACAATGGGCTTGTACTCCAGAAAGAAAAGCAGCTGACTAGGTTCCAAGTGAGTCAGAATCACACTGATTTTAATCTTTGTTTGAAAAGGGTGTGATGGGTGCAGATTGCTGATGTGTTAATTTTTCCTTCAGTACTTTCAACTGGACTGTCCCATTTTTAAGCTGGCTGGCCATTGTGGCCCTCTGTGTGTTCACAGTCATCCTATACTTCATTCCACTGAGATACATTGTCCTTGTCTGGGGTAAGTACAGCCTTTCTTTTTAAAGTCTTAGCTGCTAAGAATAAACTCTTTTTAAGGGATGAGTTATGCTGTCAGTAGTTCCCCATATTTATGGTCATGTAGCCACTCCATGATGGAAAGAGACAGGTCAGTTAGAAATCTCAACAATATAAAGATTTAGGTCTATCTGCAAAATGCATTTTTCTCATATGGCACCATAGGTTCCATCATACTATAAACACGTAGTTGTGTAGATTCTTCATCTATCAAAGTGTAACTTTGTCTAGATATCGTTCTGATTTATTTACACCACTTATACAGCAATGGAGGCGTTTCAATCCATACGGTGCATTAGAACGATACGCTTTTTTGCTGTGGCAGTTTATCTTGTGGAAGTGTATGTACACATGACACTCTACACAGCCACTTGTATAAGGGGTCACCTTTAGGATTCACGATCACTGGCCCTTACAGGCTCCTCAAGAACAAAAAGCTCCATCTTATGTGTACTGAACAAGAATGTGCCCACAGAATTAAGGGTGATTTTTTTGGCCCTAGTTTGTGATGCAGTTTTTCTGCATGTCAGTAATTTCTATACACCCTGATGCTATTTAAAAGTACTCTGTTTCAGCATACTTCAGGTACTCTTTTCTCGGTGACATTTTTGCTTTGGAAAGCTCCACTTCAGTCTTAAACATCTACTAACACACAAATATGTAATTAAATTGTGAACTGATATGCTTGACGATATCAGCAAGACCGGGCAGAAGCGTTTTCCACTTGCCTCTCACCCGCGTACACAGATACCTAAAGCGGCTAAACCTGTACAGAATGCAAGGAGCTGAAACAGGCCTTACCTTCAGAAGATGTATTTGCACTGAAAGCCAAAGAATACAGGAAGTTTTCTCTAATTCTTTTCAAGGCTTTAAAAAAATATATGGTAAATAAAGTAAGTGAAGTTCTTGTGTTTTTAAGGGCTCCAGTGTTAAGATTCCTATTTCCGCCATCCTACTTGGCCCATCTTGTCCTTGAACAGGTCCTCGTAGCCTTCACGACCACTCTCATTACCTGGCAGACCCCGGATAGCATGGGCAAAGCGATAACTTTTTTTCCCTTTACTAATTTCTACAATTTACAGAAATTCGATGGATGGTACTTTCACTATCCAAAGGATGAGGCGTCTGCATTGTATTCTTGCTTCTTATTGTGTATTCTTTTATTCTTTTGTAATATTTATTCTTTTATTTAAAGCAGGTACTGTTTTGCTGAAGGAATTAGGCGAAAGTATCACACAGGCAGATTATTAAGTCTCACCTATCTAGGGTCGACTTGCCTATCCAGCTCTGTGCCGCAGGTGGTGATCCCGCCCTCCGACTTAGTTCTTCAGGTTCTTAGAGACTGAAGCCATGGCAGACATCTGGCTACATAACCTGTGGTGGCCTCACTGGCTTGCTGTCTTAAAAGTAATTGTAGAGAATGTGTTTGGCCCTCTTATTCATCATATGAAATAAAACAAGAACAGTATTCCTTTAGTGGCAGGTGATTGCTGAAATATTACCCTGAAATCTAAGACACAGGTCATACATGAGGAGACAGAGACAAAAATCAAGATTCCAGAAGTTCATTCTGCGTGAACTCCATGAAGAAAAGCCAAGATGCTCTAGTCAAGTTTGTGTATGGTTCAGTTTCTAACAGCGTGAAATTGATTTTGTGTAATCTTTATGTTTCAAAAAGCTGGTGGCAGTCCCACTCATTTCAGGTTTGAAAAAATCAAGGTCATGTGTCTTCTTAACATTTAGGGGGCTGGGAATAAAGCTCAGTGGCACAGTGCCTGCCTGCCAAACACAAGATCCTGAGTTCAAGTCCCAGTACCTAAAAAAAAAATTAGCTTGCTTAAGAGATGTATTTTTTGAGAAAGAGGAAACCAATCAATTAGACTTCTTGCCTTGCCAATCTCAATCCTGAAATGCAGGAAGACAAGTTTCATCACAGTTGGAACACAAAAGGAAGGCTTCTAAGTACTTTAACACTGAGGGGGCCTGGGGAGGCGAGATGCTGGTCATTCCTTCTAGGTAGCCTCCTTTGTTTTCCAAATGGAAAGCCTTTCCTGCTAGGAAGAGGCTAATGCACCTGAATTGGGAAGAGGCATTCATGAAAAAACTGGAATGGGGGTGGGGGTGGGGGTGGGCTATATACCTGGGAGTATTGGTTCACTTAGTCAAGGCTGCGGGCGGGGGAGCATACAAATTAGAGCTACAGATCACTCTACTACTTTTGCCAAAGATTTGTTTTATACAACTCAAACTTCATAGCGCTTTCAATACTGACTCGTTGCTTTTTTAGGCATCAATAAATTTACCAAAAAGCTTCGAAGTCCATATGCAATTGATAACAACGAGCTACTCGACTTCCTTTCCAGAGTCCCTTCAGATGTACAAGTGGTACGTAGGTTTACTATCATTATTACTATTATTACTGTGATGTCGTGTGTCACCGCTTTTAACTTTCATTTCCACTCAATGCCAAATGTTTTATAAGAGCCTGGTAGGGTTACTGGAGCCTGATTTTCCCAGTCAATGTTCAGCCTACTGGAGGTGTTCCCCAAGAAAAAGCTTCCAGAAGAATGGCAAGTAGGAGGATGAGTATAGGTTGTGCCTCTAAGGTCAGCTGGAGCTTGTAAGGGGACTTCGTCATGATCTGAAGGGAGAAAATAAAGAGCATTAGGTGATGAAAGCAAATGTATCAGTGGAAATCTAAGGAAAAAATACTTCCCAGAATATGCAAATTAAATGAGCTTTAAAGATACAAATTTTGGAGCTGAGCTACTTTTTGAAGACCTGAACCCATCTCAAAAATCCTCTGACCTCTTTGCAGTTAAGGCCTGTTAACCAACAGTGTACAAAACCTTGCAGGTGAGCTGCGGTGATATCTTTTGCCTTCGTTTCAGTTGAGTTTTTCATTGGATATGTGTGAGCAGGATGGATGGAAACTGAGATTTATTCAACAAATAAATTGCAAAGGAACATTATCCAATCCTTCCCAACAGATCGAGGTGGTTTTGCTTTTAATGTAATTTATGACAGTCAGTGAAGATCCTAGGCCAAAGTTTGCTCGAGGGCACCATGACGTTTCTGGCAGGGTTTCCCCTCCCACTGGCGCTCTATCACTCTATTGTTTTCTGCAGCCCAGCTGCAGATCCATTCAGCCTCGAGAGTGAGCCCTTTCCCCCCAAGCACTCTCTCGTTCCTTTGCTTTTTCCTTCCCTTGCCAGAAAGTGGCCACTTGACCAGTCTTTCTCTGAACTCTGTTTAAACAGGTGCAATACCAAGAACTGAAACCAGACCCTTCTCACAGCCCATATAAAAGGAAGAAAAACACTCTTGGCTAGCCAGCTCCCAGCACTGAGGAGACCAGCATCTGTCTGGGAAGATAAAAGAAAAAGCCTTCAGCCTCAGCAGCATTTCCTTTCTTTCTGCTTTTTATTTATTTTGCCTTTTTATCATGATCGGGAGAATTTGTAAATAGTGTACAAAGGCATATGTCTTTGCAAATATACTTCTGTTGTACAGACTCAACTTGATAAAGGTTTAGCTACTGCCGTGTAAAAACCTTGTTAGCTGTGGAGACTCATATAACACTGAAAGAACAAATGTTAAGGGTGGTAGCACTGGAGGATACACACTTCTTTAATTACAAGTAGAAGCACCAGAATATTAGGTTAAATGCTCAGATGTGCTGATTAAATCTACATAAAATGTAAATGTCAATTTGATTTTAAAGTTTTTTTTAAAATGTGACTATTTTTTACCTGAAAAGTAGTAATCCATTACAGTTTTCTATGTTTTATACATTTCAAAAAGGGAAAAAACCCAAGGCCTGCATAATGGAAAGGATGCATTTCAATTTCACATAGATCCTGAAACTCACTCCCGTGCAAATTAATTAGGTATGAGTAGGCTAGCTTTAAGCAAATGAGTACAGGTACAGTCATTCCTTCAAGAGAATCTGAGATACTGTACAGAAAGCTTACAAACCTTCTATCATTCCATCCAAAACCTTAAAATCTCTGCAGGACTACATAACGTAAATACTGCCAGGTTTATAAATGATTGCCTATCTGAATTTTTATATCTACCACTACTTTAATTTATACTGAATTAGCAAATTAGCAACCCAATTCAGCTATTAAAAATACTAGTAAAAGAAACACACATTACTTCTGATGTCAAATTATACCTTTGTGCATCTAAAAATATTTCATACTCAAGTATTCTCGCAGCAAAACAAACCCTGTTTTCTCATTAGGTCACTAAATGAAGTGCTTTAATATATATCATGATTTCTCTTAGTATGAATTTTATGTAGAGGAGAATGCGGTGTGCTAAGTGATATGCCAGTGTTTCATTACATTCATTTATGAAAAAAATTCTTGATAATATGAATGCATGAAAACCTGTTTTGTAAAATAAACTGTGTATGGGGTTGCCTTTAACAATGTTTCACTAATTACCATAGAATCTGTACTTAAAAACTGCATTCCCAAGACTCTTACAGCAGTTTTCGTACCTAAGTCTCTGGCATATCGAGGGAACATACTTCTGATTTGGTGAGTGAGACTATCTTAACTCTCTGACTTGGTAGGGGATTACACAAGGGGGAAACTGCTGCACACAATGGTTTTTGCACTACTTTATTAATAATAGACTGAGAGGGGTAAGGGTGGGGATTATGCTGAAAAACATACAGAAGCGGAAAGCAAGAGATATATATTTCACTCTAAAGAAAGATTCTTTAAATTTAATCTCATCAAAGCTGATTTTTAAAGTATTTTTATTTTAGAGACATGTTGTTAAATACTATTTCTTATACTAGAACTATTTTGATCCGTTTATATACTATGCTTGAAAGAATGTCAATTAAATTCCCTTTCTACAGAAAGGCTTTGACCTCAATATACCCTATTTAGTGCACCATGTTTAAGATGACAGGCTTACATCTGCATACCATCACTGTTTGTTGCTTAAACATACTACTTCATGAAGTTGATGTTACTAGAGTTTACTGATGAGATAATTTGTTTGAAATAACTTTCAATTATGCCTTGTGTGAGATTTATGTTCTGTGCTGACAACATCTACTCAGATGTCTATAAAAGCCTGGTATGCTACAACCTCAGATGTATCTAGTGGATCGTAACCATTAACAGATGACTGCTTTCTGTTTGCTCCATTGTACTGTTTCAGATGTTTCATTCAGTGGTAATGTTGGCTACACATTCACATTAAATACAGAAGAAAATAATCTTTTCTACGTATAATCGGTCAGTAGTCTTTTCCTCCTTTCTTTTAGTTGCTGTGGCCGAGAGACAAATGATGGGGGATTGTGTTCATCGTCTTATAAATGACACTTCAAAATTCGTGTGTGAACAAACAGGGCTTTTCATGAAATGTTGACTGTTGTATAAAACTTGATACCTTTGGAGGGGTAGGTGTACAGTGAAGCTGAAAGACAAGTAAGATGTAGCTCGGGGCATAAAAATGATATGCAGGCTAATCATCACTGCTTTCAGAAAATACTATATTCACCGGCTGAAAACAGACTGTGTCTAGTAGAGTTTTTAACTATTTCTTTCCCTTTCTCCCATAGATGTGCTTTTGTCTTAGAAAGAGCAGCCTAATTTGTCTTGGTTTTATGAGATGTTTCTGATGCTCTCTCAAGACATCTTAGGCCAAATGCCAAGTTAAAATCTGTTTGGATTGCTAAACATAATAGATACTGTGAACAACTAAATGCTTTCCTATTTTTTAGTGAGTAAATTCATTGAAAGTCATTACTTATATTGACACTACTAACTATTATCACCTTTAATTGTGACATTTTCTTTTTTAAATTTTGGATGGTCCTGGAGATTGAACCTAGGATTAAACTCATGCATGCTAGGCAAGCATTCTACCATTGAGCTACATGCCTAGCTTTTTATTTTATTTTTAGTTTGAGATAGGGTTTTCTTAAGTTGCCCATGCTGGCCTCAAACTTTCCATCTTCTTGTCTCAGCCTCCTTAATATCTGGGATTACAGGTACATGCCACGCCTCCCAGCTAATTGTGAAAATTCATAAGAAATACATTAGGTGTCTGCATTTTAACTTTCTCCCCACCTAAAAAATAGAGTACTACTTGCTCATTTGAACACAGTCCCACTCAAACTGATAGGTTCCATAGGAATCCCAAATTATTTTTCAGCCTTTCTAAACACTAGGATGTGAGCTGGAGGATTCGCCAAGTGACTTTGCTTTGTAATATATTTATTGCAAACCTACTGTCTGACCCTATCACAGGCAATGTTCAAACCTATGATAATATGGTAAAAGCTAAACTGGAGTTGTAGTGAAAGCCAAAGGTACTGATATATTTTTAAAAGCAACTTACATGGGATTGAATTCTGCATTTAGAAGCAAAGAACACATTTGTAATAAGCTCTTTATCCAGGGACCACAGGGGCTTCTCCTGCACCCGCTTTTCATCTCAGTATCCAAAGATCTCCAGTGCTGAAAGTTGCCTACTTTTGTATCAACAAGTCTCATTCAAAGGCTATAATTTCGCTTGCAAACTTGTTAGATGAGCCTAAATGTTTATGATGTTTTGAGTTTTGTATTTGCTTAGCATTAAAAAATAAACAAACAAGTAAATAAATAAAATAAAATGAAGCAGTTGATGCTCCAGAAAGAGGAGAGCCACCAAGTACACGTCAGAAAAAAGCCTTGGATATTATTAAATGGTGGCTAAGTCCTGGGGCTTTAAATGTCTAATGTGCACAAAGGTCTATTTACTGGTTTCATTAGCTTTTCTACATTCAGGTTTTTTAGCCACTTGGCTGAATATGAATTTAAAAAATTATATACTGAGTACTTAGTTAATAGTGTCATTCCTTTTATTTATAATTCTTTCCCTCAAGATGACTGGTGTACTTCACTGAAAGAAAAAAAAGTCCCTTTTCATGAAACTATTGCCTCAGTTTCCATGTTAATATATTGGCAATTTGTATAGCAGTGGTCTTATCGGAAGACTTAAGCTAGCTCAATCTCTGATAGTTAAGAAACACCAGGAAAAAAATCTCATTTTATAAGAACACTATGCAAATAAAAAACATTAAATTCCCAAAGTATTTACAGAATGTGGAAATTAATGCAACAGACAGTTTGCTGGAATTTAATGATTCTATTTGTGCTTTTCCAAGGGCATCTGGGTTAAGCACCAAAAATCAAAAGCACACAAAACTAAACAACCAAGTAGTAACTGCTTTCTACTTATTGGGCTGTCTCTTTTACATTCAACACTTAAAAAAAACCAAAAAACCCAAAGCATTGCATTGCATGCATAAATGGTATATAAAATTTCTATGATGCTTCTGTTTGTCTGTAAATATCACTGAAAGAAAATTATGATTCCTTTTTTTAAAGACAACAAAATGGCACTGGTTCTTGACTCTAGTCAATTAATGGAGTAATTAGACAGCTTCACTTGTTTTTAGGAAAACAGACATGGTTTAGATAAGTAGCTATCCATATTTTATCCATAGTTAGCAAAATTAAAACTGCAATGTAAGACTTTTGTTGCAGATTCCTCAATGTTACTGCAAAAAAGACAGTGACCAACCCGAGTCACTAAGTGAAGCCGAAAACCACCCTGTATTTTCTGGAAGATAGGATCTGAGGAGACCCTAAGACTTGGCTGAGGGACGCTGCTGCTGCCAGTAGTGAGGAGAGAGGATCATTTAGGCTGGACTTTAGTTGGTTAAAGACAGACTTCAATGTGGCTTGAATCAAGCTGAACAATTTTGCCAGGGTTCACATGTTGACAGGTCCGGAGGAAATGCTAAATTCATACAGAAAGAAGCACACCTGCTCAACCATGCTAAACAGCCTCTTGCATTACTGGAGACACCTGTGACAACAGTCAAGCATTGTTATGGGACAGCTGGAGCACAGAAAGGAAATGCCAGTATCTGCCCCAAGTTCAGAGATCCCCTGTAAAGCTATTATGGAGCTGGAAACCATATAAATTCCCCATAAAGTATTCCTCCTTACACAGCAGTGATTATGACAATTACAAGTCAAAATCTGCATGATTTTATATCTTTGTTGAATAATAGCAGAGGCAGCTAACACTAATTTCTGTCCACACACGTATAACGGTCCAGTCAGTGGTCTACCTACCTCTTACCTTTGTCCTGAACTTAACTTCCGTTCCTGTTAACCACAAATCTCACAAACCATAGTGGGGTGTCTGCAGCACCTGGGAACACACAGAAAAGTCAAGTACTATCTGCATTTAAGAGGCAGTTGTTAGGTAAACCACGGAAGTATCCTTTTCATTTGCTTGACAGTTCTAAATACTTAAAATTCCCCTTGAGAATTTACATGGAAAAAATGAATTTTCAGCAGTAAACATTTTATTGGAAGGGGGGAGTCATGGAATTTCTGAGAGTAATTTAACCAGACACCTACACTTATGGGTAACCAGGCATATACCACTCATCCTTATGCACAATGATGCTAATGAAAGAATGCGCAGGTACCAGGTTCCTGACAAGCAGGTGAGAAATCTTCAAAACAGATCGATACTCCCTGGTGTACCGTAGTTATAATTTAGGTATCCTGTGTGTAGAAATACAATTGTAAAAATACTGCATTTTCAGTCTTCATACTTAAAATATTGCCTAGCCAGGCCTGGTGGTGCTCACCTGTCATCCCAGCACTCTGGGAGGCTGAGGCGGGAGGACTGCAAGTCTGAGTACAACTTAGGTAAGTCAGCCATTTAGTGAGAGCTCGTTTCAAAACAAATGGGAAAAAAAAAAAAAAAAAGGGTTAGGGATGCAGCTCAGTTCAAAGGTCCTGGGTTCAACCTTCTCACAACCCAAAAGAAAAACATTGCCTAATACAAAAGGCCCCTTTTCGGGTGTTCACACTAGAGGTGCAAATCTATGCTGCAGAGAACAGTAGTGGCAAGACAGAATTCTCACAACAGACGGCTGACAGTTTGGATCTGCAGTCACACTGCAAATATGGTATAAAGTGGATTTTGTTTCACATCGATGATGAAAAACCCTCTTAATAACAGTATATAAATGCAGTTATCACTTAATCTTACCAGTTTGTCCCTCCTCTTCTGTGTTGAATCTGAAAAGACCCACTGGAGAACAAGGAATACTTCAGGTTCTATGAATACTTCTTAAAATCAGAAAGTAAAACCGGTGCATTATGACTCCACATGAAAAGGTTTACTCGTTAGCAATTTCATACTAAAGAGTCACAAGTGCCAGACCACACGCCAACAAGGCCAGGCTCAATGTGGCTGCAAATGAAGATTACGGAGGCCCCGCAGGTTCACTCTTAATTGTGGAGGCACACAAGAGTATGGTTGAATGATGGCAATTCTATTTTCAATTACATCCGACCTTAACAAAAATGGTATTTTAAAGCTGTACCCTCTTTTAAAAATCCAGTACAGGCCAGTTTAATTAAGATAACTTTAGAAACATTTCAAAACTGATTCTTACCTGGATCAGGAGCATTACTTTTAAAATAAATAGGTTCTTGGTCTTATAGACAAAGATCACATCCCCCAAAAAACTTGGAGAAATGAAAAATAGTCAAAATTTTGTCACAAATACAACCACTATTAGCAATATATTTAAATTTTTCCCTATGTAATCTAGAGAAAATGTTTAATCACATTTATTTTGTGTTTTTAACAGAGAACCAAAATTATTCAAGAAAAATGGTGTGCAGGGAACTTGTAATACATTGCCTTCAACCTCCCTTAAATCTCTTTCTCCCAATAACATGTCTGAGTATGAACTTAATATTTTGGGAGTCTGAAAGAACTCAAATGATTGGAAAACGAGATACCTAGATTTTCGTAAACCTGAGGAAAGAACTGAGTACTACACATCCAAACAGCCTGTTTCTGATTTCTGATGATACCACTGTAACGGGTATTCTTCGTCTTCCTCCTCTGCCTTGATGTCGGCCAGGCTAAGCCGAGTGACCTCCTATCTCAGCCTCCCGTGTGCTGCGATTTCAGGGGCAAGTCACCATGCAAATTGGATTCCGGACTGAATTTCAATAAAAAGAACCTTCTACAAAATAATTATCTGTACCCTGAACACTGTTCAAAATTTTCACAGAACGTAGTTCATTCCTGATATTAGATCTGTCTCTGTGTTTTCCATCTGATTTTGAGCCTTCATTAACTTCAATTAATATATTAAATTATACCCAGAAAGTTTTACTTTTTGGATTCCTTTAAACCAAACAACTCCTAACCAGTTTTTCCCTAATTCCCTTGTCCAGATTTCATCTTTACAATTTGTTTTCAAAGAAAGTCCTTTAAAACACATCTTTTAATTTTTTACCAGATTCTACTTACTGTTCTGGAATTTCCTTTGTTATGAAAAAGAAACAATGCAAAGTTGATAAATGCATCATTAGGGCAAAACAAGATACCCAAGATGTACATTCATTGAAACAAAAACCTATTATAAAGCAAAGTATTTTGATTATTAGAAAAATTTATCAAGAGTCATGACCTAAAACATTGCTGACCTAACCTTGAAGTTGAGAAGTCACTGACAACAAACCAAGTTCTTTTATCTGTCACCACTTTAAGATTAATGAATTTTTTCAACATGACTATTTCATTTGGGGACAGAAGAACGGAAAAGTAATGGCAAGTTCTGTTCATCTACCATCAAGACAAATGATACTTTGATAGGTGTAAATTCAAAGCTGGATTCCAGATTTTTGGTTCAGTGCAACTTATCTTCTGGAAGTGCTAAACATTTCCTTTAAAACCTTTCTTTGTTAGAACCTAAATCATATGTCCCAAAGTAGTGAGCCATTCTTAAAAATTGTAACACATACTGTGTACATTATAATGTTCACTTAACTTAGATACTTAGAAGGTTGATTTAGATATATCAAATCTGGGTTTAATATCCTAAACAGATTTAGGGGTCAGGACAAATTAATTTATTTTATTTTATTTTTTTTTTGGTTTTTTGGTTTTTCTCCAGTACCGGGGACCGAACTCACGACCTTGCGCTTGCCAGGCAGGCTTTTTGCCGCTGAGCTAAATCCCCAGCCCCCCAGGACAAATTAGAGAAAATGTTTCAGTTCTAATTGGGAATGGCTATTTATAGATGCCTGAGCAAAAGTCTTTTTGGGGTCTATGTTACGGGCAATATATGTTACAGTATTTATATGCTACGTACTAAGAATGTACTTCTATTAGGATTATTGTTTGTATAGCTGATCACTTGACACTTTGCTGACTTAATACTGTTGTTGGATTTTAATTCAGCAATAGTTTTTAAATCCAGAAAAGAGTTTACTGTACTTATTTTTGAAATGGAGGGAGCGGGTATTTGTATCTTTAATACTAAACTAATATTCTAAAAATTCACTTGTACCTAGTGCTAAGAGTGTTTCAAGCTTTTAAAAAAGTGTATTTACATTCAAAACAGTATACCAATACTAAAAAACTCACAGTAATAAATTTAAGTACTTAAAATATTGACAAGTTTGAAACATAAAAATATTCCCAAACAGCAGATGCTTCTGTGAGGAAAAGCTAATCATTTAGATGGATGTAGTAAACCTAACAAGTCTTTTTCAAACAATTTAACAGAATACCCCCTCCAACAATTTACAGAAATCCATGTGTCTTAAGAAACAAACACAGGCACAGGTCTACGCTGTTTTGTTACCATAAACCGGGAAGCATTCATTAAACAGATTTCAAATTTTGTGTGCAATTGACTATAAGAGGGCCAACTTTTAAAAAGTCTAATGCTCAGTGACGTTAAAAATATCTTATGAAGACTATTTGTTTCCTCTGAATAGGTCTTTGAGTAAGATTTACAGTGCCTTAAAAGAACGCTTAAACACAAGCAAAACAACACAACCCTTTAATTTGTAGCCTAAACACTTCTAAATCTGTTATCAAAACAAGTAATCAACAAAGTATACCCTCCTCCTGCAGTTCACCTTAACCTACAAGGTGGAGGTTCTGATAATATACTTTGATTGACATGGAGCAGCCAACGAGTCCCTGTGTCCAGTCTGGATATCACCGGGCCTGGCATGATTCCCGTAGCACCATTACTGTCCTTTGTAACTCAAGCCACATTTGTTATAAAAACAATTCTCATTCTGAGTTTTGGAAGCTCCACGTCAGCAAGAGGTGCAACTGGCATGGAAGCTCCGTGGTAAATGCCTGAGGAAAAGAGTGCCTCTTGTCACTCAAAGGTGACCCCGTCCCATTAAGGAGCAACACTGACAGGCTCTCATCAAGCTCATCACTTAATGGAATGATGTATAAAGGCAGGAGGAGTGCACATGCCACCAATAATTTTTTTTCTAATGTGACACTATTCACATACTAGCTTTTTCGAAAAGGGCATTTTCTGAAGTAAAGTGTCTGAGTTTTAATGACTTTGTATTTGCCTACGAAATGGTACTAAGAAATTGCACTAAGATGCAAAGCACACCCCATATTCAACCTGCAGGAAAAAAAAAATTGCTAATATACCGATCAAGAGATTAAGCTACCAGATTCTTGAATATTCACATTTAAAAACTAAAGCACACTGCTAAGTTTAGAAACGCACAAAACTGAAAATTTTAACAACAGCACACATACACAAAAAGACAAGAAAACTGAATAATATCTGAGCTTAGTTTACCTCCCCAGACTATAAATGTTTCTTCTTTGTAGAACCCGGCCTTGTCCAGTGTACCACCTGTGACAATGTGGGTGTTCAAGAGATGTTGAATTCTAAGCTAGCTCATTTCACATTTGATTTACATGAGAATGTTTTTCGGGTAACCTTGGAGTTTGTGAAAGAAAACAGATATCTGAACCACTTTCTTCTGCACAGTGAAATTAAGAACCTAGAAAAGTAATGATTAAACCCTAATCTCAAAAAGATCCTTTCTAGGGTGCTGCCAATAAATATGAAGTGGGGAAAAGATGAGTCTTAACAGCTCCAAAATTTCCTTCCAAGTTTTACTTATATTACTTAGATATTATAATAAGGGCGTTTAGGCTTTTTAAATAACATTCCCATGGAACTATGATATTACATCTAGGAGAGTACAAGGAAGAATAGCATAACTCAGCTTTATATTCAGCTGTACCTCTGGGGCATCTCCAACGGAAAAGCTAGGACCTTCTTTCTTTACTTCTAAGGTAGATTTAAGGCAATTACTCTATTTTCTAAAAAGTATATATAAAGAAAAAAATTAGAATATTGAAATTTTTCTTGGCAGGCTAAATGAATCTGCATATATATGAGTATGAATTGGACTACAAAACCTAATAAACTATGTTTGCTACACTGGACTTTTAAAGGTGAAACTGCAATGCCTTTTCATAGGCAGAGACCTGAATGGCACTTGTGTGTTTCACAGTAAATAAACGTCAGCATGACCTGTAGAAGTTGGCAGGTAGAACAGTTACACAATATTAATGATACCTGCAACCAAATATTTCTTAGTGAACATCTAACTTAGAAAATTACCTTTTCTTAATGGTACAAAAGCCTAACTCATGAAGTAATTACTTAATTACCTTAGGATTACTACCAATTTAAGCAATTACCATCTTATATTTTAATTTAATGATGCATTATAACCAAAAGAGGAAGTATGAACTACTAAAGAATATTTTTAAGTGCCATAAAGTGATATGCTAAGTTAATTCTCTCATCACAAGAATACCTGGTGTTATTTCCATCTGACATGTAAGAAAAAACAAAGCTCAAAGAATTTTCCTTGTACTTTATGTATTAACTAAGGTAAACAAAGATCTGAGAATGTGCCTGATGTCAAAGTCTATGATCTTAAGCGTCTATTAGTTTGCCAAGCAAACAGTATCCCCCGGGCCTTCATAATTGTGTTACAACAAATACTCCTGGGAATAAAAATATTCTTACTCATCATCTGGGGAAGCATGTGACTTCCTTTGAGCATCTTAACAGTCTCTAGACAGTCTCCCCTACGTGAGGATTGCTCTGAAACTTTGTCAGATTAATACAAACACTGGCATGATGTCATATTTGAAGATTAAATAGAAACTAATATTCTGTACAGTGTAAGTAAAAAGTTAAAATATAGGAAAACTTAATTTTTAAAATCAGAACTGATACAGTAGAATAGCAGTTTTCAATTTAGGTTACAACCCCTGTAATAAGATAGTGAGCACTTGTATCTCGTTCCAAGATCTATTTCCAAGATAAAAGTGAAGTATGCACCTTTAGCAGATTAACTGCTGTGAGATCACTTCAGTTACAGAAAAGCTAAGTGGAAGTTATAATGTTTCTTTTCCAGCTGTATCACTTCTTCCCACTAGTGAAGCACCTCCAATTTCAAAAGTGGCTATATCAGTGCCCTGTCTTCTAGTTTTACTATACTGTAAGTTGCTATTAGGAAAAAACTACCAATTGAAACATTACAACTTTGTAAATTCACACCGCACATTTAGAGTTTTAGATGACCTGACCTCTATTACATAGATGCCATTTGTAATGTGAATATTTAATAAAAATTACTATGCAGCAAAATGTTTTCACTTAGCAGTATCTGTTACATGAAGTAATACATTTTGTACATGAACTGCTAAAATAAAGCAGATCAAGAGACTAAATTATCAGACTTTGTATATTAACTGCATTAAAACGCCGAAAAAATATTATTTTAAAATTTAGAAATGTTTATTTTAGAAACACACAAAACTAAAAGCATATTTTAGTCCATCAGCCTATATAGAGAAGAAACGGTATTATAAACGTATAGATAGACATTTTATGAATATCTTTGCCATGATTTTAAGGCCTAGAACACGTAGAATAGCTTTTTACATTTTGATTTTAAAATACATTTAAATTAACTTTTTACATGTACATTATAAATAAATAATATTTCAAGAACAAAAGGCTTAATAAAAGCAATTTATTAATAAAAGATTAATAAAATCAAATAAAACTTTTTTTTCAAAAACTTCTTAATCAAATTCTACATCCTGGAAATAGAAGCTTATATTTTAGTTCTGCAGAAATTTTTCAAGGGTTTTTGAAATTTCACAAATCTGAATAATCAGTTAATAAATAAATCGTATTCATATTTGTCAGTAAGCTCTGAAGTCTCTACTAAATTACAAAGCAAACCAGACCACGTTTAGAAACTTGACCTGTACTTTGTGGCACCATCATGAAAATTCTGTGACCGACACATCATTTCCAAAGTCACCAGTAAGGCCTCGGTATGTACTCCGGGACATAATTTCAAATTCTCAGGCAGTTCCTTCAGAACATTGGGGAGCTCCTGCAATGTCTTTATATTTCTATCATAAAGATCCAGTAGCCAGTCAGTGTGAGCCGTGGTGGTTTCTTTAAAACTTTTATAAGCCATAAGCTGCTCATTCAGATGAGCTAACCCTTGGAAAGCTAAGATGAACTCTGAAGACAAATCAAAAATTGAACAAAAATTTAGCAGCATCCTACTGAGTAAAAATGAACCAAATTCGAGTTGCTGGTGGTAAAAATGTTTCTCTGCTTGTGCATGAAAGTTCTCCACTGTATCTTCTATTTTTGCAATAGCAAAAAGCTCCTCCTTGATTTGTGGGGACAACACATAATCCAAGGGCAATTCCCCCTTAGAATTTCTCTGCTGTAAAAGCACTGGGCCTGTGAAACAGAAAAGGTACAATGTTAGAGTGCAACATTTTTATTTTGGCAGCTTAACAGATGTTTTCTCTCTCTTTTTCCCCAAAGCACTCACAGCTCTGTTTATCATGTTTTTACTAATTCATGTTGACATAATTAACAGGCTATACATAATGACTGTCTAATAAAGGTGCACTTTAAAAACCAAAGTTTTAGTCGATTATCTAATAAAGTTTACCTAAAAGTACATGCCTTAAATATACAGTACAAAAGTGTTCCTGAAGCTTTATGAACTATCATCTTAAAATAAGAATTTCAGTGTTTCCAGAAGAAATTAGCTAAATATATTTATCTTAAAATCTGTATAACAGCCTTCGGGCTATCTTGTAATAGCACCAGGACAAAAAGGTACTGTCCCCTTCCACTGCCGATAGACGATTCTGGCAGTGCGAACATTGTAAACTTTGTACAGAAATACAGCACATTTTCTACCTCACCCTTGTTTACATTTGATTTTTGCATAGGTAACTGATTCACAAAAAATTGTGAATTCTCCTGGATCAAACTCAGATCTAAAAACAAAAATCAAAAAACAAAAAACCCCCTCAGATCTCATTTATCCGTCCAAGCTAAATCTATCTAACCACCTACTTAGTTCTGAACACAGACTTCGTACCCTAGGGAGGTAAAGGATGGTATGAGAGGAACAAAACAAGGCCATAGTATTTGGGCACACAGTAAAGCACAGGAATATTCTGTACCTTTGTCAATTAAATCTTGCAATTATTCATAAAAATATTACAGGGGATATAAAGGTTTTGGTACTTGCAGACTTAATCAGAAAATCCTGCCATTACAACATATTGTCAGAAAGACTAGAAGATAACTGCTAAAACTCTTTATGGGGACTCTGATCAGATATGTATAATAGATATAACATTATAACTTACAGAAAAAAGAATTCTAAATCAACATTAGATTCTTTTCCATGAATTTACATGTTTAAAAATAAAAAAGCTCGAAGTAACCACTGTTTAAAAAACAATTACAGATATCTAAAATGACTTTAGAGACACACACTCCTATTTATTAATCTCAAAACTGAGTTCCTAACAATGAACAGGTAATAGTTACTACAATGATGTCTAATCATGTGACTGGTCCAAACCCAGAAAAAGGAAAACAAGTCTGTGTGACTGCCAAAGGACCTTGATAATGCCTGGGTAAGCAGATTTGCTCTCACAGGGCAAGGAACTCACCCATTCACTACTCTTCACTAGTAAAATTCATTTTCACTGATATAATCCTATACCCTACTGAAGAGCTAGATTTAATACAAAGCATGGCTTTATATCACTTATACTATTTGAAGCAAAAGCGAACAGTAGCTTAAATGCCAGATATACAATTCAATAGGAGAAACAGGAGTAGAAAAACAAAACGCTTAGGTGGCAGAACATTATGTTTATACTACTTCAAAAAAAAGGTAGAAGAACTGAAAAATGTATTGATTATTATGACATGCTGCTAGTTAAGCAGACACACTAAGGCCTTTAGGGGGCAGGAGAAGACTATAAATACCCAAACATCTTAAGCTATCCTACTATACACCCTTCCTTAGGTCCAGATTCATACGTATAGTGCAAACGACATCTAGTGAAAACATGCTTTTTGATTTTGTGCAGAACTAGTTTAATTATAGGATAAAATCATATTAAATTCTACAAAAATGAATACAAATAAAAGTGATAGGGAATTTACACAAATCTTTGTATTATAAACTAGTCATCTTTTGTTTTTCTTTTGAAAACACAAATCAGCTGGAAGATTTTCATGTAAAATTTATTCAGTTTAGATATAAGAATGTCATGGAAAAGGAAGGGGCTTGCTGAAAGTAAAGATCAAAACTCAGCAGAAAAAGCAGATGAATATTAAGCTTAAGTTACCTTCACAGAATCCCTGCACAAGCTATTATCATTTGACTCTTCCTACTTTAACTTATACTGACTGCAAAATGTGAATGAAGAAAAATATTCTAGGCTATCTTTTCCAAAGTCTAAAGAAATACCTCATAAAACTAACATTAACTGAGTATAGGAACTAAAGAATAAACAAAATCTAAATTATCACACTAAAATTACATTCATCTATGAATATGCTTTCAGAAATGACTAGCTCAGAAAGACAATACACACATTAGGTAAAAGGATTAATATTTAAAACAAACACATTCAGTTAAAAACAGACACTTGAACACGCACCTCGCTAGGCTGAATATCATATACATATGTGCAGATCTACATATCATAAAAGGGCTTTTATCACTACTAGTAAAGGGTGGTTACATTCTAGGAGACATTTTACCCTTAGTTTTTCGTTGTTACAAAATAAAAGCATCTCTCCTAGCAGATTTTCAATAGAAAACGCTATCTGCCTCCAATGGATTCATCAAAAGCCTGGCTAATTTCTCGAGACCGTTTAGCATAGATGCACTCACCCCCGTGCTGCAGCAGCAGCTTGCCAATTTCTACATGTCCGTTGGACAGTGCGTCATGCAAAGGAGTCACCCCGTCCACTTGAGTGAGCAGATCTACCTCTGGACAACGCTGCAAAATTTCCTGGACACACACTGTGTTGCCATAGTTACAGGCTTCATGCAAAGGCGTCCAGCCAGCATTGTCTAAATTAGAAATCAAGGCAAGTTTTAAAACAGCACAAGTAGGACTTTTGGTAGCAAAGTACTGATATTCTCCTTCTCTCATCAGGGTGACTTTGTAGGTACTTCATATTAAAAAGGAAAAGCTTTGATAAAACACCCAAAGTGCAGTCATATTCCTACACTTAAGAAAAATACACTTAAAATAATTAAAACCAATTTTAAACTGTTAATGCTGGGATATGATAAGAACACAAACACCAAAACATTTCTACATCATTAGCTATAAATCATTACACACCGATTTCTTGGTTTTGTTTATGGAAGTATTTTAAAGATATACTAAGTAAATTTACTCAAATTATGTTACTTACTGTGACATAAAATTATTATACCATAAATGTTAAGACACTGGATAAGATCACAAAGATTTAGAACTTACCTTTAACATTGATGTCTATTCCTGGCAAAGACAGAAGTAAAATCAATTTGTCCACTTTGTTGCTTATGCAAGCCCTATGCAGGGCTGTTTCTCCTGCCACAAAAAAATTGATAGATTATTCCAGAGAAGACAAGATACCAACTAAAGAAAATAATCAAAGGGCATGAACTCGGAGATCTGGACCCAGGCCAGAAAATTATTTACTAGGTTTTCCTCTGGCTGCTTTAAACACCTCTTGCACTGAAAGAGGTGGGGGGAGAAGCAGCCTACCAATCCATAGAGCGTCTGTTCTATCAGCAATTCAGCAATGAGATTCTATAGCAAAAGGTTTAACACCGGCATTGTCTCACCCTAGTTCAAGGTTTAAAGCTTCAATCCTGCTATAAAATCCCCAAATGATCAGAGAACACCAAAAACACTGGGTTTTGCAGCAATAAAAGTTTAGAGTGCAATTGCCCTCTCTTAAATTTATTCATGAACCTGCGTTAAATATATGGCTCTTTTTTATACAGCATTTATAGCTTAATTCAAATGAATGTTTCTGGCTAAGCACGAGTGCCTCTACACACTCAAGTATAATTCAGAACTTCAAATCCATTAACAGATGGTTTGCTGCTTCTCAATAGGCTGTCTGGCTTGGCTACAGCAGCACGGAGAGGGAGAAATGGAAGAATCTTAATATAAACACCACACACACATGCACACGCACACACACAAACCCCTAGTACCATTTAAAGCTGAACAAGAGTAACAAATAGAATGGCAAAGTTTTTGTAGGAAAGATGCAATTAGTAGCTGCTGGCTAAAATTATCTATATCCATCTCATTATAACCAAGACCAGTCAAATATAAGTGATAATTTGATATAAGCAAAAAAAAATTTGAAAACCTGTAAGTGACTGCTTGGGAAACCAAGTGAAATACTGAATCATATTTATTCTTGCTATAAAATACTAAGTAGCTCATTTTTACAGTGTTCAGTTTTTATAGATTATCTCTGTAACATCTACTAAAACATTTCTTTTAGATGCACAGAAAAGCTTTTCATGTTTTTCTCTATTTCACAGTCCCTTTCCTTTCTCCCAGTTCTTTCTACCATTCAGCCTAAAGTCATTCATATTCATCTGACTTCCTGAAACAATAAAATAAAGGGACGCTGATTTGTGAAGTTAATATTTGAGTTCTCCTCTAGTATGTTTATCATATTTTGAGCCACATGTGCCATTATTTTAAGTTTGTGATAAACAACTTATGAACTTATGTAGAAACACTATAAGAGCTTTAACTCCCTATTTCTATGAGTATCATGTTAATATGTACATTAAAAACATAAACAAGAGGCTCAGCCACGTATAGGCTCTTTGAAGACAATTTATACTTGTAAGAGGTATCTAGGTAAAAAGATTGCTAGAGGGAATTATTACAACGCTATTCTTGGTTATTCCACCCTTTTAGGTACTTAGGTTCCAGTACAGTTAGAACCAAAAGCCAAACACATTTCACAGTCTGGGCTCAGTGCCTAGAAGAAAAGAGCCCATATGCTTAACACAGCTATGTAACATAGCCTTCTCCTCACTCTTTGTTCACAAAATGTCTAGTACCGAAAGAGATGAAGACTGAATTATACTTTCAAATCAGAAGACACTGATCCTAACAGCGCAGGTTGAGGTGGAATAGAAAAGTAAGGCGGGCAAGTCTGGAATGAGCTCAATGAGTGGAGCACACCATATTTACAATCTGCAAGGGCAGAGGGAGAGAAAGAGAGGGATGTTCTATTATACTGGCTATTAAGTGATCACTTTCTTTGTACAAATGACAGTTCAAGAAAACAATACTCTATCTAGGAAGGTATTTTCTGGACCTAATCCAATGTTTAAGTTCAAGTATTCATCAGGACAAGTGTGTGAAAGTCCCAAGTACTGACTACAGCCATGAAGAGTTCTTCATGTAATTTAGGTATCTGGAATACCTTTTAGATTAGTCTTGTGAATATTCATCTTTTTAAGACTGGGGCAATTCTCCTTGGACCATGGTGATTCTCCTTCTGACTTCTTTTTCAATTTTTTTAATGATGGGGAACATTTAGCAAGGCTCAGCTCTCTGAAAGGCAAGAAATAACGAAAGCTTGTTTTTTAGCAAGGCATGCCAGCATATATTAGTTCTTCTTCTTTTTTTTTTAAATCTAGCCTTATTTTAATTTAAACTTACTCATTCAATTTTTACTGCTTCCTAAATTTTAAAGTATATTTCAACCACACAGGAACAAATTTGTATGCATTAACTTTCATTTTAATAGCCTTATACCCCAACTGCCCACTGAGAATCAGATTATAAATATAAAATGTTAAGTAAAAAGGTGACCAAGCAAATCATGATTTGCGGAGAAAAATAAAGCAGAAACTAAGACTAGAATGAAGGCTTCTGCTCCACATCCATATTTTCAAATAGTGATCCTATTCTCTTCACCCTCTCAAGAACATTTCAGGCTTTCTGAGTGGTCCACAGCATGCATTTAGAGGAGATTCCTCCTTTGGGGGAAGCTGGAATGAAGAGTTAGAGTATCTTGCATGACCATGCATTCTGAAATCTCATCTTTATTACAGAATAATTCAAATCACAAGGCACAGCTTGCGTAACGTAAGAATCTGGTGAATAATTTTTTGGGAGAAGTGGTTAAGAAAGTATGTTCCTTGAAAGAAACAGAAAGAAAATACGTTGATTGTGCATACTGACAGGTCTAAAACTCAATTTTTGTCTAACCAGTACAAAGACAGTACCACGGAGAACCTAAAGTTCACAACCGGGGTCAGCAGAAGAGCAGTGCAGCGAACAGAGCAGGCTGGATGAGGGCATCACTTACGGTAACCTGGGCAGCCCTTCCCCTTGCTTCCGCTTTGCGCCGTTCAGCATCAGTAAGGCTCTCTGAGATTCAAGGCAAGATCGCTGTCCGGTTTTCTTTGGTAAATGCGCCTTCCCAGCCCTGTGCACACTAGCTTTCCCCAAAGCCCGCAAATAGCCATTTACCTGTTGCAAAAAGTATTACATTGCCTTCTTAACTACGAAGATCACAGTGAAAAATAATCACTTCATTCATTTCACCATTAAATTTGGTTGAATTCTTAAAAAATTTCTCCACTGTGGTTGCCCACCCTATATTGTTTGAAGATGATAAAATATCAAGCTGCTAGTTCCTTGTTATTAAGACAGCATCATGGAGACAAGAAAAATACCTTCTCGAAAGTAATTTTTTTTGAACTCAACAGGAAAGCTGTTTTTGTTTTGCTGTTTTGTTTTTCCAGTACTAGGGCCTGAATCCAAGGCCTTTGCATTGAGCTACATTCCTCAGCCCTTTTCTTTTCATTTTTTATTTGTGCTAAGTTACACAGGTTTAGCTCCAACTTCCGATGTTCCTGCCTCAGCCTCCCAGAATGCTGAAAATTTTTGCATTTTCGATTTTGTACAACTGGTATTTGCCATTTCCATTTTCGTAACGATCTTAACAGGAAATACATCTGAGATAAATACAGTAAGGACTGAAAATGTCCTTTAAGGCAAGTACTATTGCAAGCACAATTTGCTCAATCTGACAGTAAACACACTCCTTTCTTTCCTTGTCTCTCTCCCTTCCTTTTTTCAGCACTGGGGATATAACTCAGGGCCTTCACTCTGAGCTACATTGTAGCCCTTTTCATATTTATAATTTTGAGATAGGGTCTTGCTAATTCACCAAGTTGCCCAGGCTGGGCTTGAACTTGTGGTAGGCCTGTCTCAGCCTCTCAGAGTGCTGGGATTGGCAGGTATGTGCCACCATGCTGCATTAAACTTTTTTCTCATTTGTTGACGGAACTGCTGGAGATACTAAATATTAACAGTACCTAAAGATGGCCAAGACAAAAATGAACCATGGATGTGTGTACACCCAGGACATACCACTTACATGTTTTACTATTTAACCACCATGAATACCACACAGAATTCTTCTGGATCTAGTCCAAAACAGTCGTCTTACACTCTGTGTCAGGTGATTAGAAAATAAAGATTCTTACGTCATTTTTGTTACCAACAGCGAATTATGCTAAAAAACAACTAAAATTTTTATTCATTAATCTATTTTTGTGGGTGTTTTGTTTTGTTTTTTTTTTTTTTTTTTTAGTTTTTCAGTTTTTCTCTGGTACCGGGAACCGAACTCACGACCTTGAGCTTGCCAGGCAGGTGCTTTGCCACTGAGCTAAATCCCCAGCCCCTTCATTAATCTATTTTTGGGATACAAAAATATCAGGTCTTTTATGGGTTGGTTTTATGAATTATGCCCTATCCATTTATTAGAAATAACTAATAATATTTTAAAATTGAATTCATGAACGTACAACTCAGAAATGCAAAGAGCTAGGAGAGGGCAACGCTTACCATTTTCTGAAGCGACAGCAGCTCAGAAGAATTATCAAAAAAGTACTTTTTAAAGACTGCTTCTGCAACAAACATTTGAAGCCAGGAGGAGGAAAAGGAGCAAATGAAAATCTCTAGTTCCTGTGAAGAAAAGTCTGCAGAAAAACAAGAGAAGTAAATACAATTTGCTACATCCTATACAATTTCTTTTCTATACACTATTTCCTCGGTGGATTTCATTCCATTAAATGATAGTTCCTATATCAGTAAGATTTACCTATATAATTTTAAACCACAAGACATACATGATTTTCCCATTCCTTGCCTTTTGCAAGTAAATTTTTTATGGGACATGTTCTTACATTTGAAAAGCAATCATTACTTTTTAGTACTTTAAATGAAGACTTTAAAATTATATATATACAGAACAGACAATATTACGAGTATGTCAATATACATGGGATTTTATCACTATACTGTACAATAACATTAAGGGTCTGTTCTCACGATAGGCTTGCTCTTTTGGAAAATCAGCACTTAGTTTTTAAACACATGTTTCAAACGCAAATATACTTTATTTGAAATAGTGTGTCTCGAGCTGATGGGAGGAGAGGATTTAGACTCCGTCCTCCGATGAGACCCATGAACCCTGTCACTGAAGAGGCAGAGGAAAGGCACAAGGTAAGGAAGGCAAACAAGAAACAGGACGGTGGTTCAAGATTTCATTAGAAGTCTGCACTCACTACACATGGAGAAATTTTAAATGATGACACAGTCAAGGTACTCAAATCTCTTCTGCCCCAAGACCACAAGGGCTCCAGTAAGATGGAAATGGATTAATATGCACAGGAACTGAAAGTGATAAAGTACTAGAGTGACTGTTTCTCAGGTAATCGCTTCAATGTTATGAATTCTCTCTATAGGAGCAACAGACTGGATAATATAAAGGAACTGTAATTAAAGAATGAGATCAATAGGCTACTGTAAGAACTGAAAATAGTACATTAGAACGTTGTGACATTATTTTATAAGGCAGACTAACTATGAACACTCAAATAAATAAGTCAAAATTAGCAAAACAGACACAATAAACAGCGGATAAGAATGAAAATTACAGGCATTAAGTCACTACATTTAAAAACTGAGACTGAATGATAAATCTATAGCAAGAATAAAACTTGACCTTTCTCCTTGGGCATGAAGTTCCTTTGCATTGAAGAGACTGCAGAGACCCAGTGAATGCCCTGCTCGGACACTTTCACAAAAGGCTGCTGCTCTGATGTCCTTGCAGGCCTTGATCCATGACTGTGAGTTCTCAAGGGAGAGGGGAGGATTTTGCTCCCAGGGAATATCTGGTGGTCATGCTAGGGAAGGGAACACTATTAGGACTAGTAGACATCCTACAGTGCGCAACACAGCTCCCGACAACGAACAGGTAGCCAGTCACAACATAATCAGTGTCCAGGCTGAGAAACTGCCTTAACTAAAGACACCTGCAGCTGTTGCCAGTGGCAGGTTGCCATGTGAGAGTGTCTAATAAACCTTTGGACAAATGGCTCAACGAAGAAGTTAACCAGATCCATCTAGACCCAAACAGACATGGCTGCTGACCTCACCATCCCTTTCCATACAGCTCCAAAGAGATGCAGTTTCTAAGAGCTGGAGACGAGAAAGGAATTAGTTACATCCTTTCTTTCACTACTACTAAAGCTAAGCCTATCATCACAGTTTACTATAAGGAAGTGACTTTTTAACAGGCAAAAGCAAAGCAGAGAAGCTGAGTACTGTGGAGTCTGCAGGGATAATCTCATACTGGAACTGCTAAGTGGAATTACTCACCTAAGAAGAGGCCTGGAAATACATACCAAAAATGGACTTACACATTACCAGGTAATGATAAATAATAGATGAACACAAGAACATGAAAAACTGAGCCCCGCTGTAGACTTTCAAGAGCAGGGTCACTTTTCTAGGCCTTACCCAATGAATGTCACTAACCTGCGCAAAAAAAATATTTAGTATTTGATGGATGCATGGATGAGCGACACATAGCAGAAAGTCATTATGGAAAGCCACAGCAGGACAGTCTTTTAGAAAGCCAATCAGAGCATGCCAGTCCCCGTTAAAACAGCTTCTAATTCCTCAACATGGCTTGCAAGTTCCCACACAAACTGCCTTCTTCTGTTTTGGACCTTATGCTGGCCATTCCTCCCACAGATGGCACTGTCAGCCTTGAGCCAGGAGGCGCCACATAGACCAGCTCCTCCCTTCCTTCCTTCTTTCCCTCCCTCCCTTTGAGCTGTGGTACTTGTTGTCTTGTGACGGAATGCTGCCCCGACTCTACCGAACTTCTGCTTACCCTGCATCCAGTGAGCACTCACTATAAAGTAAGTTTCCAATCTCAGCACCTAGTTTTCTTGTCCAGAGCATTATATTTCAAAGATGCATAATGATGTATTAACTTAATTACAGTCCGCCTCTCCCACCGAAAGCTCCACAGGAGCAAGGGCCATGTTTCCCATTCTACTTCACTACATCTATGAAGTGTCTAACCTGGCTGGCAGAATGCCAATGTCAATTTGTGGAATGAATGATAAGAACAGAAATATTTTTAAGTAGGCAATCAATAAAAATATAAAAATTTGTACTTATAGAAGCAGTCTGAAGCACAGAAAGAAATTAAAATAGATGAAAAAGCGAAACTGAATAAAAGTTTTGAAGAAGTGTCAGGGAAAGCTAATGATATAATCTTAGGCAAAGGGAGTTTTATTAAAGTCCTCAAGCTATAAAAATGTAATAAATTTTAATGCTGTCTTTCCTTTCCTACTGAGACAGCACACGAAATCAGTTGCCAAGGATTAGCGCACTACAGCTCGCTGCCTGTAGGAACAAAGTTTTATTGGCTCCCAGCCACGTTCATTTGTTTCTGTACCACGTATGGCCGCTTTCTTACCACAACTGCAGGGCAGCTGGGACAGACCACAGGGCCGCCAAAGCCAGACACTATCTGGTACTTTACATTAAAAAAGCGTTGCTCACCAAATTTAAGCCAAAAATCTGGATTTCGACTAGGCATTAAAAGTAAATTTCAGACAATATAGCTTGAAAGAAGCCCTTTCTGTGTGAAGTGTTTAGAAATAAAAGAACATAGAGTCTGTATGGAACTGGTGGCTATGAGGTCGGACGGAAAGAAAAAAGCATTTAGCCAGGTGTGGAGGTGCAGCCATGATCCCAGCACTCTGAGAGCAAATCAAAAGGACTACAAGTTCAAGTCCAGTCTGGGCAATGTACTGAGACCCTGTCTCAAAATAAAAAAACGTACTGAGACACTGTCTCAAAATAAAAAATAAAGGGGGTTGGGGGTGTACCTCAGTGGTACCATTCCCCCCTGCATTTGATCCCCATTATCGCACCTCTGGAAAAAAACCAGGAAAAATAAAAGAACTTTAGCTGTCTTATGAAATACCTATGCTTTACTTTTCACTAAATAAATAAATAAATAACCTCTGGAAAAAAACCAGGAAAAATAAAAGAACTTTAGCTGTCTTATGAAATACCTATGCTTTACTTTTCACAAAAACATCATGCTTGAGTAGAGAGATGGATCAAAATCTTCAACTGGAAGTAATAAGAACAGAACAGATACACCATAACACCTTTCCTCATGAATTAGAAAAAGCAACAGTGAATTAATGAGTAACGCAAGGAAAAGTCAAAAAGAGAAAAGAAAACCACTTGCAGAATATCCAGAGAAAAGGAAACAGGTGTCACTAACAATGGATTTCAAATTTCTTCATAGGAATACAAACAAAAAGGTCATTATTAGAATACCGGGTTCACTTGCAGAGTAAGTATGGTATTCAATCAGAATAGACAAACGGTTTAATTTTATTGTGCTTATCAGCTATAAAAAAAGTACTTCTTTTTAAAGAAGTGTTCGCTTGACTTCTACCTCTTGACCAGGTTAAGCCAAGCTGTACTAACAGCCAAGAACTAGTTAAATATTAATTTGAACCAGTTTTAGAAATACATGTTAGAAACTTTTAGATAGCTCATCTATGCCTAATATGAAGCCTAAGAAACCAACTATGCATGTGTGTTTTGAGAAGAGTAAGGAAAGGCTTCAAACTATTATTCGTCAAACAACCTCATTTCCAGTTTAAATATTAATGTTTGAACACAGCTCCCTGGCACCAAAGTAAGCACTGTGTTGATAGTATTGTAACAGTAACATTAAAGTTAAGTTTTAGCTCAAAAGAATCACAGGCTGAAACTTTGGGCCATAAATTTTTCATGTAAAGCTGTGTATTATGGCACATGATTATAATACGAGCACTCTGGGAAGCTGAGGCAGGAGGATCACGGACCAAACCCAGCACAGGCAATTTATTGATATCCTGTCTCAAAATGATGATGATGATGATGATGATGATGAGGCTGGGGAAAGTAGTTCAGTGTAAAAGACACTGGGTTCAATCCCCAGTTGCACTAAAAACAAAACAAAACTTGACATGTGAAAACTAAGAACAATATTGGATCACTGTATAACAATATCCTGTTGAGAGTAAAGGGAACTTTGGAATACGAGTACAGAAAGCATTGAAACTGAGGTACAGTACAAAGAACTCACTGATAAGGCTCAGTATTTCACGCACTTAGCTAATCTCGAAAGTAAATTATGTTTCTTTAAAGGCATTACTATACATTGGAAACAACTGATCACCTAATCTTGTACTGGGTCCTCAAACTCAATGAAATTTCACTATAGAATGAAAACAAGGAGTTCTGCTAACCAAATATGTAGTTCTTATTTTAGCAAACAATGCCAGAATCTGGAGTTTGTGAAGAGGATTAAAAGAAAGAAAGAAAAAACCACTCAACTACCTGGTAGGAATGGTGGGAGAGAAGTGATAAAGGTTCTAAAGGAAGATTGAATTTGAGCTAGGAAATGTTAAAAAGTCACACAACAAAAGAGAGCCAGTCCACAAAAGCAACAGCCATCACCTCCTCAGCTCAATGAACGAGAAAAAAAGAAAGGAGATAAAATGCTTTAGATAAAAATCTCCCAACTTTGGTAGTATAAAAAGAGACCTTTCTTTGCAGAGGGCAGCATCAAATAAATCCCAAACCCAGTTATAACCTGGATTCCTATTCTGAAATCTTTCTTCAAAGTATTCGTGTGACTGACAGCAGATTCAAGAATTTTTCTTTATCCAAGATGCACTGACACGCACGTGCAGGAAGACTAAGTACCTATTTGGTAGGATAAAATACTGGCAATCCGTATAGAAAACTCATCTTCTAGGTAGAGGGCCACAAAATGCTCATCTGGTTTAAAACGTTTTCCTTTTCAGAATCCAGGGTTACAGAAACACAGAAAAGAAAAGAAAACAAAAAACAAACCACACACACAAGAAAAAAGAAGAGAAAAAGGAGGAAGCCAACAGACTCTTCCCAAAGAGGAAATGTCCTAGGTTTTAGGGACATTCCCCTCAGTCAGGAGATGCAAAAGAGAGGAGCAGTTTTCAGTGTAAACATGAGCTCTGTTACCATATTCTTAAACAATAATCCTCCCATTTAAGTTAGAAGACTGCACATTTGTTAGAGCACCAGAATTTAGAAAAAAGGAAAGTAGCAGTTTTTTATACTAAGAAAACTTATACAGCAACAGGTACAGGAAGGAATGTTAGAGCCAGTGATATAAACCAACTTAATCTGAGGGGCTTGATAACAAATACTCTGATTCAGTGAATTTTATGTTTTAATACCATTAAGTGTTCAAAAAAGGAAGAGACCTAGCAATTGTTCATATAGCACAGATAAGATCAGAGAGCGATAATGCTTTCTACTCAACTTGAATGACACAGAATTACAAAACAGTCTTTAAGATTTATGACTCTGCCGGGGATATAGCTCAGTGGCACAGTGCTTGCTTGGCAAGCGCAAGGTCCTGAGTTTGATTCCCAGTACCAAAATAAATAAATAAATAAATAAATAACATTTATGACTCTAAAAAGCATACATAAAAAGTGAATCTATGTCTCACAAAAAGTGAATCTAGGAAATGGGAATAAATTGATTTAAAATTTGTCTACTATACAGGATGCATTAGTTATGACTTTTAGTTATAAGATCAAAAAATATTATTATTACATGCAACTATATAATAATTTATTTCCAGGTAGTATTTTCCATACTACTATTTGACTTTTATAAAACCATCAAATGATATTTATGGATAATAAATAATATATAAGGGAGGTAGGCTTCTACAATAAGTTCAGAAAAATAATACAAAATGCACATACATAGTATGAGCTCAACTACATGAAAATGCTTAGTGTTATCTAGTGATAAAACATTAAAAGTTAATCGTGGTGGGCACATTATTGGTAAGTCTTATTTTCCTTTTTATATTGTCCATGTTTGTATATATTTGTGTGTATGTATCTATAATTCCTGTAAGGAAAGCTTCTTACAAACATGTTAGAGACTGTTTTAAGGAAACTCAAAACTAATTTCTAGAATGGATCTAAGAAAAACATAACAGACACACTTACCATCACATGTAAGGGAAATATAACTTCCTAAGTCCTCAGACAGGTGTCGCATCACATTTCTACCCATCTTAAGACCAAGGAAGATCCAATAATCTATTGCTGCTCCAAGAATTCCAGTCAATAAGTAAGCTAGTTCATGTCTGAAGACCTAACATTAAGATGGAAAAATATTACCAAAATACATTAGAATACAGAATTTCTGTGTTTATTTTTAACTCTGTGTTGAGAGACCAAACTTGGCTATTTAAAAATACAGGGTATGCTAACGCTAAGAGATATGCTTAAGAATCCTAGTAAATTAACTCCCTCCTTAACTCTCTTTAGTCTACCCACCCATCCCTTCTCTCTATACATATATATGTAGTTATTCTCTACATATACATATGTATGGATGTATATATTTGTATGCACACATATATTATACTTGTATTAAATACACACATTTATTTTGGGCATTCCTTATCTGAAAAGATTGGGACCAGAACTTTCAGATTTCAGACTTTGGAATCAGATAAACCCATGCATGTATATGCATTGGAACACACACTACATAAAGTAGATATATTGGGGATAGGGCCCATGTTCAAACACAGAATTTATTTCTGCTTCACATTTATCTTATACACATAGGCTGAAGGTAATTTTATACAATATTTTTAGTGTACCTACAGTCTGACTTTGCCCCATCATCTGGTCAGGTGTGAAATCTCCTACTGTGCTATCATGTTAGTAAACAAACCATTTTGGACTTCACAGTATTTTAGATTAGGGATATTCAACTTGTATATGACAAAGTATTAATAAAACAAAACTTCTAGGGACATATATAACTAGCTTACAACAAACTGGTAAAATAATCTTATCTAATGTTGTCAAGTGGTTTAGTTAGGTGATAATTCCACTAAAACAATGAGGAAACACTTGGTTTCTGTGGATTTCTCTTAATAGGCATATGGAAGATTATGAAAGCAGACATTTGCTACTTTTACCATTCAACAAGTACTGAATTTCCCTTTATATTTCTCTAAAAGACATTTTCCAAAAAGGAATTGAAAAACACAATGAATAAAAACATTATCAAATTTATATAAAGAAACAGACTGATTCAAATTATAACTATCAATTATATTTTACACACACTACATGACTGGGAGATGTACAGAGATCAGTTTGTGTTTGTGTGTGTGGGGATGTTGGTGGGTGGGTGTATGGTAAGCCCTATGGAAATTTATTTTGTTTCATATTAATTATATGGGATAATAGGCTTCTATCTGATATATTCATATATGTATAAGACAAATGGATCATTTCATCTTCTCATAATCCCCCAGGTCCCTTCTTCTCTAGTAGTACAGATCAGTTTTTAAAATATCAATACTATTTTATAGTAGCACTTTCATAATAAACATTAAATTTCTATAAAATATAGCAAGGTACAAAAACCTTACTTCTAGAGTGTATTGCCCTGTTTAAAAAATATTCCTCTAAGTCACAAAATTCAGTATAAACTGACAATGTGAAAAAAACTAAATATACTTAATTTTAGACATAAACATTTGTTTAAAATGAAACTATATTCTTAGTATTTGTTGTCTAGGTGGGCTGCATACATAAAAAGAAAAAAATCACTCCACAGTGGGGTAGAGGGTATGTGAAAAGGTTTCAGTGGTGTCCATAAAGATGACAACTGTTCTGTTTTAACACGGGATTAGCTGCATAGAAATCCCTAGCGTGTAGAACCCTCAGTGACCAGTGGGTTTGTTTCTCCTGCCCTTAGCAAACCAGCTTCTTATAGGTCTGTACAGTATTTTATTATGACATCATTTCTTCAGGAACAACTACACAAATGATTTCAATGGGAAGTTCTCTATTTCTGGTTTGTTGTGCAAACAGGCAAACAGTCAAACAGCATGTACATCAGGCTTACCAAATAGTGTTTACTGAAGGAAAACCTCAGTGAGGACCAGGAGTAAGTGTGCAGGTCCTCTGGCGTCCTATCACACTATGAGGTAGCACACTACCTTTCAGCAGGGCCTCATAGTAATCTCAGAGAGAGATTCTGAAGGTAAATCGGGCTGAAGGGATTTTTTTTTGTTTTTTGTTTTGGTTTTTCTCCAGCACCAGGAATCGAACTCACAACCTTGCGCTTGCCAGGCAGGCGCTGTGCCGCTAAGCTAAATCCCCAGCCCCGGGCTGAGGGGATTTTAAACTTCATGATTAACATGTACAGAAGCAACACCTTTTTTCTCTTCTGATCTGTGGCCAAAGCACAGAACCTGATGCTACCAGGACAGAATTTGTGGGTGGGCGACAGCACCACTCCCTTGCACCTTGCTGAGAGCCTGTTTATGCATTCCCAGACTACTGGGGTTACAGCATCATCACAGTGCCTGCCATGACTTCTCTGCCATCCTAATGAAGATCCTACCAAAGTTATTTTTATTTGTGTGTCATCAGCCAAACATGCTCATTATTAAATATTTATAATAGTAAATTCCTAAGTAAAAAGACTCACACTGGGCTTTTAGATCCTTTTATACTATACCACATTGTTAACTATGAGACTCACTAGGACCACAGGGCCAAGACACTATGCCCTCCCTGGATTACACTCACTACACGTACACACTATGGAAAAGATGCTACTATTTGCAGTATGATGGATGCATGCATTTCAGAAGAGGATTGTAAGAAAAGTACAAATAAATCATCAAAGAAAAATGACTTTCTTGGAATACTGAAATGTTTGCTCAAGCTAAAAGAACATGAATACTTTTAAGAATTAACAAAGAAATACAGATAGAAATGATTTGCACATATGACATATATTTCCCTGAGACTCTTTTCTAATGTGTTAAACTCTATTACCAGAAACTCTGTAAACACAACTCGCCATTATCTGTCAGTAGAAGTCATCCCCAGTTTATAAACTTGGAGCTCTTCCCAAAACGGAGTATCTGCAATAGAGAATGAAGTAGTGTCTCGTCCCTCTGACTCCCAGGTTAGGGATTTCCATAAAACACCCAGTGCGGTACGTGACAAACTACCATGATGGAAAGACACATACATAACACACGCACTATGTCTCTTCCCGTTTTAAACACTGGCATTTGAAACATGAGAAAGTGTGCTACCGCAGACACTTGGCCTCTAGTCAAGCCTTTGCTCTAACAAGCTGTGACACCTTGAATAAGTTACGTAAACTGTTCGGCTTCAATTTTCTTATCTTTAAATACAAACTGGCTTCCGTTTCTACCTATAATTGTAGGGCTATGCTTAAACAGCACTTAAGAACATCTCAAAGAAACGTGGGACTAACACCAAAGCTTACTAAAATGTGCACCTCCTCCATAACCTTGACACAGCCCACCTCTGCTCTTTGCCAAGGAGAGCCCAAAGCTTTCTCAGATTAGTGACAATGAAATTCACTGCCATTGTGTCACTCTGTAATACTTGCTGATTGACATTATGACAAAACAATATTAGCATAAACTGAGGACTTCTGTTTAGCTAATGACTTAAATTGAATGCTTCAACTCAGCAAATCAAGAAACAAATGCTTTACAGTACAGAAAATGATGTCTGTGAACATGCATGGAATTCTTTAAACTGGAAACTGCCAAAAAAGATTTAATTAAGTACAAGAATGAATTCTAACAGAAAGGTAATACAAAAAAGGCACTTTATGTGAATTTAAGCAATTCAAATGTTAAATAAAATATTAATTTGCAAAATTTAAAACCAGTTTTCATATTACAACTGATGCTACAATTTATTGCAGATTGCTTCTCAAATATGTTGCTCTTATTTATAAATTTGAACAAAAATCTTCAAGTTAGATATGTATAAATCTGTTACTATTTACATCAGTGTTTCTGTGGTTGTCCTTTGATGATTTAGTAAAATTACGAAAACGTCAGTTTTATCATTGTTTTCAGCTATCAATGAGCAATTTCATTTATGAAATCATACTGATGAAAAAAGAAATGCTCTGTAATGAAGAAGTATTTTCTACCCTAAATGAGTCTATTGTATAAAAAGTAAATAAAAAGGAGATGGTGATTGATAAAGCTTTAGCTGATAAGTACTGTACTCAAGTGGCAATGAGACAGAAAGTTCCAGTTCAGATGAATATTTTCTATTTCTACACATTTGTACCATCATGCTTCTTTTATTTTTGTATTTTAAAATTTTTTTTGGTTTTTCTTCCAGTACTGGGAATTGAACTCATGACTTTGTGCTTACCGGGCAGGCATGCTTCTTTTAAAATCAGATCTATGGAAAAGAAAGTGCCTACTCACCTGGGTATAGTCACATAATAGGATGACAATCAAAAAGCAGTCTAACTATACCTACGCACAATCTCTGACATTTCTTAACCACAATTTTTAAAAACCAACAATAATATATGATTCTGTTAATAGAAGGCTGAGGAGTTCTGGTAATTTTTAGAGAACCAAAAGTGTCGGCTAAAAAAAAACCAAAAAAAAAACAAAAAGCACCTTAAGAGAGAGAGACAAGTTATGAGCAATTACTAGGCCAAAGCCTAAGAGAAGGTAAAAAGCCAAGGCAAGTCAGACAAAGCTAAAGGACTCTACTCTGAGGACTTTATCCAATTCAGTCCAGAGAGCTGAGATATATTACAAACACACATAATTAAAAATAAACAAAAAAGCTGAGATATACAACTGTGATTTGTGGAGCTAGAAAAAAGTTTGTTTCTGTTTTGCTTTGCTTAGAAAGTCATAGCTTAGGCAGTGGTAGCATATCTATGGCACATGTGCCACAGCAGGGTGTCTGTATCACTGAAAGCTGTAAAGATTTGCCATCAGTGGCCTAAGGCCTAATTCTCAATAAGTCAAGAGCCTGAAAGACTTCAGCCTAAGAGTAAGAGTGAATCCAAAGCAAAACCACATTATCGGTAGCCTTTTACTTTCCTTAGACTATTCAGGACCCTTCAGACATTGTGACTGGATTATGGTAGTCCTTGACTGGCAATGTACATAGGCACCTGGCGGGAATAAACAGAAATTTTAACCAGAAGGGGATACTTTGGTCCCTGCTATAAACTGTCTCCACATATAATTTTTCCAATGCAATTTATAGCACACAGCAAATGATAACTAGCTCACGAGAGAAAATTAAAGA